ATCAGCAAATTCTTCTTGACCCACTTTTCAATGATGTTCACACAGCCCTAAAACAGAAACACACAAGATTCAACATGGTCACCTAGACTGTTCTGGCAGGTGTGAGAGAGCAGCTAGGTAAGGCAAGATGGCCACCATGTCTGGCCCACATTTCCCAGAAGCCCATGGGGAATGAGCTGCTGCTGCTCCGTCACCTGACCAGCGCGAGAAGACCATTGGTCAGGCGAGTGTTTGAAAAGCAGGAAGCAAAGTTGCATTTGTGTCCGTTTCATTTGCTATCTGAAGGCCAGAAGGTAGATAGTGAATGCGAGCTCTTCACCAGGGGGACCGTGGGACTGTGGCCCTTGAAGAGCTTGTTGGCTTTGTGGAACCGAGGAATTTGTGAGTTTGTGGAAAGTCTTGTGGTCTCAGACTAAAGGTTTGAAGAGTGGCATGCTTTTTCGAGGACAGTAAACATCTTAACTGCGTGGTATGATAGTTGGGAACTTGCAGTTCAGTCAGGAGCTCAAGAGCGGTTTTGTTTCAAGGCCTTGGCTTGTGGTGGCAGTTTTTCCCCTGCACTTGTCGTAAAATGCTCGATTTTTAACCTTAAACTTTCCCACCTGTGTTGTCCTGGACCCATCTATATGTCACATCCTATTACGGCACTCCCAACGAGCTGTATTTACCACAGCCTATTCAGACTTTCCCCATGACCTCACTGGGGCTGACCATTTACCTTCTGGGGTTCCCCAAGTTAATGCTGTTCTCTAATACACAGGAGCACAGGAGCCCTAGTGTGAACATCCCTGAGGAATGTTACCAGTTACCGCAGTGTCCCATTATTCCCATGGCTCTGTGCGATAAAGCACAGGCGTGCGAGGTGGCCATCCTCGACCCCCGTCTCCTGCTGGGAGCCGCGCGAGTGTGCAGCATGGTCAGCGAGTGAGGAGCCACACCCTCACCGAGGGGGTCTGACTGGTAGAGGAGTCGGGGTACCGCAAGCGCAGGTGGGCACTCCCCCGTGCAGTACGGGGGTCACAGAGGCAAGCGGGGATCAGTAACTGATTTCAAACTGGGACAAACAGAACATCGGAATGAAGAACCGGCCGCGTCGCACTCACGTCCTTGTAGATCCGGTCGGTGGTCAGGGCACCCTTCCCACAGCTCTTGGTCACGTTCTTGCAACAGGAGTCGGGCACGGAGTTGCCACCTATGACACTGTCCCAGTCAGTGGCATTCATAGCCCCACAGCACTTGAACTGCAGACAGACAGACAGGGCAGTGAGACACACAGACAGAAAGGCAGCAGGGAACATTCACAGCTTTTCTTGCAGGAGGTTTGGCTTATACTTGGGCGGTGATCTTCTGATCGTCATTTCTATCTCTGCTGCCCCCTCTCAACTGCCTCAGAATACACTGTTTTACTTCCCATGACCCTCCATTCCCCCATTAGGAATACTAGTAGAGCCAGAGTTCTTATGTGGAATGTTACATTAAAATTGTATGATGCACTAGTCAGGCCTCGTTTCGAACATTTCTGTCAGATCACAACTATGCACAAAGATATTGCTGCTCTGGAATCTGTCCAGAGAAGAGCAACCAGATACGTATAAGGGCTTAAAGGGGAATTGTAGTCCCAGTTTTTCAGACTGGTTATTAGAACTCGGTTACTAAAATAATTGACGGGAACTCAAAACTTGACAAATTCTGAACCAAGCACAAAATTGGGGACCTTGTAAAAGAACTGTTTACTCGTCATGCTCTTTGCAAAATGCTGCTCTTGCCACAGGCTAGAGGAAGAGCTCGTGAGAATTCACATGAGCAGGAAGGACTGCTTCTTTAGTCACCATAATGAATAATGTAATGGGATATATGAGCAAATAAGTACAGGCAATGCTACAGACATTTTGCTGTAGAAATGTTCCAATGTGATCTGCGTGCAGAGTTAACAAGAAGTGTATTTCTATTGGATTAATAATAATTGCTTATACATATATAGCGCTTTTCTGGACACTCCACTCAAAGCGCTTTACAGGTAATGGGGACTCCCCTCCACCACCACCAATGTGCAGCCCCACCTGGGTGATGCAACAGCAGCCATAGTGCGCCAGAACACTCACCACACCTCAGCTATCAGTGGGGAGGAGAACAGCGTAATGAAGCCAATTCATAGATGGGGATTATTAGGAGGCCACGATTGGTAAAGCCAGGGGGAAATTTGGCCAGGATGCCGGGGTTACACCCCTACTCTTTTCGAGAAACGCCCTGGGATTTTTATTGACCACAGAGAGTCAGGACCTCGGTTTTACGTCTCATCTGAAGGACAGCGCCTGTTTACAGTATAGTGTCCTCATCACTATACTGGGGCATTAGGACCCATATGGACTGCAGGGTGAACGCCCCCTACTGGCCCCACTAACACCTCTTCCAGCAGCAGCCTTAGTTTTTCCCAGGAGGTCTACCATCCAGGTACTGACTTCAGTGGGTTGCCAGTTGTGAGTTGCAGAGTGATATGGCTGCTGGCCTTAAAAGAGATGTATTCACAAGCCTGCTTGTTTACAATGTACTAAGGACATTTAACGTCACTGGATGTCTTGTTGCCTCATTCTGAATCACAGAACATAGCGCTGTGCATACCTGGAAATCTCATCTATTTTGTGATGTGAACTGGAGTTTTTATAAATTACTGTGTAGATTTTACTTTCATTGTAGTTTGAGCTGCACAAAGTGCCGATTCTCTTTAACCCTCAAAACTAAAACTAGCGCTGCAGTTGCCCTTTAAGGGACTGTCCTACACTTTAATCTTGATGAGAGAAGACTACCAGGGCACCTGATACAACTGACACAAAATTCCCCAATGGCCCAAAATGTCCACCTAGGAGACTTTATCCGAATTAGCAGTGTAGTGTGAACCGCAGAGCACAAGGGCATGGTGGTGAGTTTATAACCCAGAACAGGAGGCAGTCTTTACCCAAACGGTTTCAGGAGTTTGAAAGAAGCTAGAGAGCCACATGATTATAGCTAATACCCTGGTTTCTGTCAAGAAACAGCTGGGAGAGACCATTAGATCAGCTAACTCCTAACAAACAGGCTGGATGTGTCCATTGGCTCGCTTTTGTCTGTAAACTACATTCTTAGAACTGCAGCAGCGTGGTCTGTCGTGTACTGGGCACACACGGCTTGCTTCTTTTTCTTTGAGGGGTTCTGTACGTGTATGTGTATTCAGAGTAAGATTATTAGATGCTCCTGCAGCGATACGAAACGAGGCCCATCGACCAGGGCCTGACGCAGGGCGCCGGGGCAGGTGGAGTTTTGACTTGCAGACAGACCTTAACTCTTCACAAGCCCGAGGTCAGAGCCGAGCGTCTGAAACGCGATCGTGCCCTTTCTTCAACTCGGATGAAGCGGATGTTTCGCCCACAGACCTTGGGCCGATACAGCTCATGTTTAAGAAAAGACGGTCCACTGGCAGTAAGGCAGCAGAATCGTTTTCAGCCGTGTTCCGTCACAGTCCGACGTCACGACAGGCCTCTGCACTGGTCTCTCTCCAACGAGCACATCCTGCCTTTTCTTTTTCTCTCTGGACACAGAGTGTTGAGCCCCCAGACTGCACCAGGAACACCCTCGCTTAACTGACTCACGTCTTCCTGGATCCCGTCCATGGCCTTCATCGCATCCTGAGAGCTGTTGTACTTCTGGATCATATCGTGGAACCCATCAGTCAGGATGGTCTTGGCCTGCAGAAGACAAACGTGCCCAGTTAAAAGCAGCATTGTATCTGACCCACCTCTCTAAGGATCTGCTCTTCCACACTTCCCATCAGCCATAGGTTTAAACATGGCAAGGTGAATGCAGAGTCCATTCTACACCAACCATTATCACAAAGCCAGATCGTCCACAGTATTCAGTTCTGAAACAATACTGGGACAACCCTTCAGTTCTCGACTGCAGCTTCTGCTGAACCGTGCAATTTGCTTTTCCTTTACTTTTCAGAAGCAAAGGAAGCCTCAATATATATTTATATGCCATCTACCCAGGCCCCAGTGATAACACTTTACACAGCGCTGTAGAGATGAGCGATGCACAGAGCGGAGGGCAGGACAGATGCACTAACTCACCTTGTCCTTGAAGACGTACCCAGCGATGGCTGCTGCAATCTCCACTATGATGATAAGGGTCAGCAGGACTGCAAACTGGTGGGGAGAAAGAGTGAGAGGAGCAAGCTGAGCAACCAATTTCCAGCCTCCCAATAAACAGGCACGTTCTCTGAGGCGCTTACAGACACCAACCAGTGGTACAGGGCCTGTAAGCTGTAAACCACGTTGTTAGAAGTGCAGCAGTATGGTCTCTGTGTACTGACCACACACAGCTCCTTTCTTTTTCTTTAAGTTTGTTATGCTGATGTATCAGAGCAAATGTCCTGGACGCTCTTGCTTTTTGCATGAGCACAGCAATCTGAAATGAGGAAGTCCTAGGTCTCCAGCTCAACAAACTAACTTTTAAACCACAGCACTGTATATTATCAGATCTGGAAACTATATGTAGTCCGCACCACGTCCTGGGGTACCCCAGTGTCTGCCGGCTTCTATTCCACCTGAGCCTCGAGTTACATAGAGATAACTGAGCAATCTTCTTAAGAAGCTTCTGAGGGTGCAAGTGCTATATCTAAACAAAATCCTTCAAATATGGAAGTCCTTTACTTTAAAGTTATCAAATTTTATTACAGCGACGCCTGCATAAGCACCACAAAGAGGCGGTATACGACCCCAGTCTGCACAGCACCACCTGGAGATCTGCGTGGAGCTCTGTGCACCAAGTCCAGCAAAACCTCCAGTGCTGCCAGCTGCCCTTCTGCAGCATCAGGGGATGGGCGTTACCGTGGTGACCATGCAGTTGCTCTCTTTCCAGGCTCCGCAGCAGCCAAAGAACGCAATGAAGAAGATGACCACGCCCACGACGATGATGACAATGGGGGCGCCCAGGGCCGACGCGTCCTTGATGCGCAGGGTTTGGTGAAGCCCCACCTGGACCATGATGCCAATCACGATCAGGGCCAGACCACAGACCTGCGGGGAGAAAGGAGTTTAGCTTAGCCATTCCCAAGACACTTTTCCCCCCTATCCAAATGTGTCTGGATCACTCGGGAGACATGACAAACACAGCCCATAAAGCAGATGACATTAAATCATGCCACACTTCCCAAACAATCCCTTGAAAATCCTGATCCAGTTAAGGATCACTGTTTTCAGAAGCGTTTCCGGTTTTAACAGCACAGGGCACTTCTTTAAGTTAAAGTGGCACAGCCCCTTAAGCACATCCAAGCCTCCAGAACACAATCCCCGTTCTGGTTACTGTACGTCTGTCAACTGTCAGCTGTCAGCTCCCTGGAAATGCTGTCCTACTACATTTTTTTTTTTTAAAGTTTAACTTGCAAAGTGCAGTAGAGTAATGGTTTGAGTCCTGGGGATTTGTAGCGGTAAGGTTGCGGGTTCAAATCCTAGGGGCACAGCTGTCCTACAGGGGAGACGCCTCGCTTGCATGGCGTGGGTAAACGCCCGTCTGCGACCGTGCCAGGAGACCGTGTGGAGGGCACGGCTACAGGCACCAGCCTCTGCTGCTGGGAGAGGCCAAGACCAGAGCCACTCCTTAGCACACTTCACACGCAGACCAAACAACCAGGCTGTAGCATTCAGAGTACTCTTGGGTGTTCAATGCATTGTAGAGAAGACTCCGTCTCCTACAATAAGGCGTTCTTTAAAAAAAAAAGTAGAATTGCATAACCGTTCCAGACAGTGCCAATTTTCCATTTTGCTTTAAGCGTCTGTCTTTCCATTTTGCTGAATATTTGCTGTGTTTTTCCCCCTGCTCATTGTTTGCGAAGGGTGTTCAAATAGTTCTTCGCCTCTCTCTCTCCAAGCATGCTGGCGTGTGCTCACACGCCATTCACCCCAAACCTCAGGTCGGGGGGGGGGGGATCAGTGATGGGCACGCCTCCCTTTGGCGCGAGGTGAGGGCGTAGCTCTGGTCAAATCGCACATCCCCTGTGGAAGACGACCGACATCAAAGCTGGAAAATTAGGTTGTTTCTAATTTTGTAGCCAAGGATTTTACCAGCAACAGGATCTGTAATCGCATTTAGGCCCGGCGTGAGTCACCGGCGCCAGTCCAGACAAAAACAGCCGCCAAGGCCTGAAGAGAAACGAGACTCCCACTGCGGAGCAGCTTGATCCATGCCAGGTTTTACACACCAGCGCTGCGTTTCAAGCTTGTCACCCTGCTTCACATCAGAGAGACATGTGGGGTTGAAGCAACATTAAAATCTGTTTTTCCCCCCCTACGAACAGTACAATAGCCTAAAAAACACACGCCCACTAACATGAAGTGTTCGGATTCTAGGGGACAGAAACACGATGGAAGAGTGTCGTATGGATTTTCCTGTGCAGTTAGCAGCCACACTCTTCCAGCTTTACATCAAAGAGAAAAAAATTTGTTTTCGAAACGGTCTCATTATTTACCAGGTGAATCAGCCTCTTCAAGTTCCACCCAGTGAGTGCTGAAAGAATTGAGCATCACTGTGCACCTGTTCCTCAGTTTGGAATAATTCTTCACCAGCTCCTGAGATGGTGCATATCAAGGGGATTTACCCAGTCAAACTTTGAAAAAACAAAGATCTGAATTGTCATTTTGTGCAGCCAAGACCAATCAAACTGCTGCATGTTGCAGATCTTCACATGCATCCATCTATATATATTAAGGAATTCAAATGTGCTATAACACCAGGTGTACGTTATACTCGGAGTTTACAACAACGTTCATTAATGTTCCTCGCTTTTCCTTCAAATCTCCCAATTCTTTGCGAACAAAACCCCAAAAAATAAGGAATGTTGAATCCCTGTTACAAAACTAGGTGCAGAAATGTAAAGTAATATCACATGAACAAGGTGAACTATAGAAAGTCAGATGTACAATACACAAAAAAAAAAAACAGATGCAGGAAAGGCTGGTTTACAGCAGCGAAGTTTCCAGCTCACACCTTAAAATCAGGTGCAGACTACGCCTTCCCCAACCTCAGGACTGAAAGACCAAGCACAAACTGGAGGATCTGGTATTTTAGCCACGAGGGCCAGGAAAGTGTACAGACCGTGCAGCTATTCTACACTCACTGTATGGACTGTTATGGTGCTGGTGTTCACAGTGCTGAATGTGCAGGGCAGGAAATAATTAGGTAGACTAAAAACAGGAACTCTTTCCACTTTCTGCAATACAGCAGGTCTCCGTCTTTCTCCAACTGCAAACAACCCACATAGCAAAAAAAAACACAGAACAGAGGGAGGCCATGGTACATTTTAGAAGTAATCCACTGGGTCACACCAATGTCAATATTTGAGAGCAGGTAAGGTCCGCAGAACAGGCGTGCAGTAGCTGCACTGAGCAGATGGGAGATGTACATTCTTTAAACCAAGCAGTCACGCATCTACAGGGTTTGAGAAATTAAGAATCATTGTGGACGGCTCTACACGTTTTTCTTTGTTTTAGTCACACTTTCTTAGCAATTAATTTCTCATCTTTCGTTATTTTGGCTGCAGGCGTGTTTGGGATTATTGTGCGGTGCTCCGACAGGAGATTAGAGCACCAATACGCTTCTCCCCTCGAAATCTCTCTCGCCCGTTGTAAAATAAGACCGTGAACAATACAGTTTTCCCCACATGAGAGGGATCAGCAAAACCACAAGCTGAATTCTGAAATCTCCCATACGTCTGCAGCCACAATACGGCTAGTCATCTGTCCAGCATTCATGTCACGTGTAAAAAAAAAAAAAAAAAGGTGCAATACTGACTATTTTTAATAAGCTTAATATTCAGCCTGCAGAAATTAAGAATAAAAAAATGGGGTCAAATCTTTGCTTTCAGAATCACTGTCAGCGGTTCTTCAACAAGAGTGGAAAAGTTGCTCTGCCCTGTTCTAACGCTCTGCCCTGTTCTAACGCTCGTGCCTCGAGGGCAAGAGAGAGCCACGTGAGTCGTTATGCTGCCAAGCTGGCGGATATATTTTTTTATAATGGGCTGCCGCCGAGATTTTTTCATCATCT